GAAGTGTGGAGTTGCCTTGAGTTGTTATAGCTAATCAGAACCCAGAAATATGCATGAGTAGTTGTAAACTTTTTCCTTCAATGTGAATTACTTTGCACTTAATTTAAAAAGTGATTTAAACCATTACAAATCTTTGGGTGGAAACACCTGTATCTTAAAAAACTTGCCCAGTTATTTTAACTGATATGAATGTGCGCACACAAAGTTGCTCTGCTTACCTGAACCTTCATGCAAAAAATACATCAATTTAAAAGGAGAATCTTGATATAAAACAAAACTTCTTTTGGGGGTGGGTGAGCTTGGTATCCCCTACCTTGGAAGTGTGGAAAATCCAAAATGGGATTCTCTTCTGCAAACCAAATCCAGCCAACTTTTTGGGAATGTGTGGCAAGACAGCTAAGCGGGCAACTGTACCACTTAGAAAAAGCACCAGTGTGACTGAGGCAAAGGATCTCACCATTTAGCCAACTGTGGCTGAATGACTGGAAGGCAGGGGCACTCCATAAAGCAAATACAGAGAGACTGTGTGATAGCTGAAGTGATGCAGAAGCATAAGGGGAGCATCTTTGCAGACCATCCTCAAGAAGCAACTGACTGAATGCAAATGATTAGTCCCTCCTAGCAAGTTGCAAAATAGGCCTTTTTGGGGGAAATTTAGGTGTCCCTCCCTTTAGGAAATTAAGTTCTACGAAAATAAAGAGAGACTAACTCAACCTGATAAATTTAAATGTTTTATTAACAATCATCTTACATTACAAGGATAATATGACAAAAGGAAAGTTCTCGTGTACATATTATGATATATCAACATAGCTCTATTCGTATCCAGTGTCCTAGCTCCTTTCACACAGGTACTATAAAGCATAGTCTGCAAAGTAATAACATTTTAATGTTCTCTGAAAGTGTGATATTAACATATTAATACATATGTAATAATAAACTTCTAGATATTTTTTCTCTTATTTTGTGTATGTGGTTGACACTGAGGGGGAGGGAAGGTAAAGACTTTATTTTCTGTAGGAAGATAAACAAAAACATATTGCGTTAAATGGGTGATGAGACTCTGAAGTTGCCTGAATGGTAGGAACCATAATAGCCCTCCAATCACAATATAGTACAGTATATGGGAGTGGTTCCCCTGCACAGCCCAGTAAGCATTCTGTACATGAGGTGCAATGTATAAAGGATTCCAATGCCAGGCAGGAAATACTCTATGGGCAACATGTAGACTGTGGATTGGTTTGCTAACTGAGTTTAATGTCAGTGGCTTTTTCATAAAGTGGCCGGGGGTGGACTATCCATGAGGTTCCTGAGGAACTGATAAAGTTTCTCTCTGCTATATGTGTTTACTGGGTCACAACTGGCAGCCATTCTTCGGAGAGACCCAGAAAAGGCAGGTTTGTGACTGGGGCATATGAGCGCGGAGTTGTGTGGAGAGAGAGGCCCAGAATAGCAGGGGAATGAGGTGGCATGAGGAAAATCTGCACAGCATCTGCTAGTGCAATACCAGTGTAACTAGTCACTCAATGGTCAGAACGAAAATGCCTTGAACTCTTCCTCCTCCCTAAAGAAATTAAAAATTAAAACAAATGTAAGAAGTTAAGTGGTTGCTAGGCTGACTCTGGAGCTGGAAAGCCAAATCTCCATTCCCCTCCTTTGAAGTTACAACTGCTCCCTCTTGGGGAGGAGCAGCCATGAGCCTCTTACATTCGAAAGAATAGCTGCTCTGGTTGCCCTGCCTCACACATCAAAAGCATCACCATGGAGCCAGGGCTGCCAAGAGGTGCGAATGTCAGTACACATCCCACAAATGTCAATCCATGGAAGCTGTGGCATGGATCCACCAAGAAGTCCTCATCTGGAACTGCCATTCATACAAAAAGATTGATCTTACTCTTCTTGTCAAGGGAGGAGGTGAGGGACTGAGCTCCCTGAATGGCTCAACTCAGCAACATCAACACACCTTGTCTGTTGGCATAAGTGTCCCCCGTGTGTCATTTACAGTGTACCTCATTTAGCCAACTAATTCCTTTCTCCACCAAGAAAGTCGTCTGTATCAGCCAGGCTAGTTAACCACAGAGAAGTAGTCAACGAGGAACATCTGTGCAGTTGCACTCATAGGGAAGTGGCCTAATTGCTCAATTTGGTAGAAATGCAGGTGTGATTCCCAGTTCGGTATGAACATACTCACTCCTCACTCATGGTCTTTTCTTGTGTTGTACTCTCTCTCCATACATCCTCCCATCTCTGACTATGTAAGAACAACTGCACCAACTCAGTATTTTCTCTCATTCTTGTTTTATTCTAACCCCATTTCTAAAACGTTGGTTGTTGCTGTGTGTGAAATATACTACATATGAACAGATTCTATTGTACTGCACTGGGCTAGTTACTGAAGACCACTAGGTCCCACTTACTGCATGTCAGTAGCCAACAAGGAATGCCAACTAGGTGAAGCAGAAAACCACATTGTCACTGCATTCAGACCCCTAGTCATCAAACCTGTCCATGAAGACAGAGAAAAGTGCATAAAGGAGTGAGATATGGATCAGCCCAAGCGTGAATACAAAGGAGATATAGTATGCTTATCTAAAAGACAAAGGCATTCACCTTTTTCCATCACCAAGACACAGTCCCAAGAGTACAGCTCCACAGGCCTTATTTAGCACCTTATTTAACATACAAAGTAAGAACCCCCTTGTTCTAACCACAGCAAAGTTCACACAAACATAGGCCCCCTCAGCATAAGGTTAAAGCTGTACTGAAGTCCTAGTCTTCTGTGTTACGTATCTCATACTAGAACACAGGGTCAGGTTTATACAAGGACAACTGATTCTATATCTATATTATATGTTTATAACTATTGAAAACATAGAAATATATAAATATATAGGATTTTATTTATAGATATATAGTCATGTGATTTTTATTTCTTATGTTGTGTGAAAATGTACTGGGATGTGCATATATACAATATATAGTCTGTATGCATAGGTACTGTATACATACATTAGCTTACATGCACACACATTATACATGTCTCCAAGGGAGACAGGAATTGCATAGGCATTACTGGTTTGACAGTACAATGGTTGGGGGAATCAACGTACCATTTCTTTACTTTTATGACCTCTTTATATGAGGTTGAGAGAGGAATCTGGATAAAGCAGATGTTACTGCATGTTTGCCAAGCAAACTGTCCATTGCCAAGCAAATAACAATATTAACAAGTTAAACAAGAAATGTAACTTAAAAAACCCACAGTGGCAAACTGGCTGAGTTTGCATTGGGGGTTAAAAAAATATTTCGAACCTGAATAGCATCTGAGAACTCATATCACCAAACATGCAAGGAATACATCTGCATACCACAGAGATCAATTCAAGATTTAATGCACAGAACATTATAGGACAATGCCTTCTTAGAGACATTCTTGCATGTTTGGTGTATGATCCTTGTAGCAAGCATTTGTAATCCTTGCACTTTTGGTAGAACAGGAAGAGCTTAGGTTTCCTGTGCCTTTAGGATTGTCCCTGTTGCATTCAGCCTAGAGGCCAGGAGGCCTAGACTTCATGCAGCCACTGGAAAGCTCTGTAAAAGAAAACATCTGGACATCTTCCAGCAAACAGGATAAAGGAGTAGAGGAGCCTGAGAAAAAAGAGGGTAGGAATTAGGCAATCAAACCCTCCAAGGGCTACACAGCCAAGGGTTTGGAGAAGTGCATGCTATTCACGGTCAGCTGTCTTAAAGTAGATGGAAATGAAAAAAGGCAAAGCTCATTCAAAGATTAACAAACCCATTATTTCTTTTCTCTTGAAGACATTCAAGATACCATGAGCAACGCATTCAAAACAATTGTCTCTTGATTCAAATGTAACAGGAGGGAAATAATTTAATCCCGATGCCATTAATTTCCCCACCTCCAGAGGAATCTGTCCTAGATGTCTACATCTACCCCCACCAGATTTATGAACGGTATGTGATGCTGCTACTGCTACACTGAAACCCAACAAGTGTTGTGAATTGGCCCCCTCTGCTGTCCCTCAGTCATCATTACAACCCAGCACATTTCAACCTCTGTTGCCTGCGTGAGAAACGTATAGTTAAAAAAATGCTAATGAAAAATATCTGTGAGAGTCAGCTGGTTATCAAACTGAATGCGCTTTGCTTTTCATAGCTAAATAAGAGGCATCTCTTGCCTTTCCAGTTGACAGAAATCAGCAGATCCAACCACTGTGGGTTACGTCTATCTCTGACACACAAATGTGGCATTTTTTGCAAGAGAAGCCATCATTGATCTGCAGACAGAACGGAGAGAAAGCAACACTATGCACACTTCATTCTAGTGTTGAGAACTTGTTACGAGAGGTGTCACCAATGACCAACTATATTTGAAAACAAAAAGGTAACAGTCACCAGAGCAATTTTTGAACCAGTTTCTGGTGGTATCCGCCTTCCTACAATTTTGGAACATTAGAAAGTAAGGACATTCAGGGTCGAAGTTGTAAATGGGATTTGTGTGGCTTTAACACGTGTTTGAACAAGGAGCAGGTGAGCTATACTATTTAAAAACTGTTTTGGGGATGGGCCACAAGCTAACTTTCCAGAAAGACAGCCATGGAGTTTGCAGCTCCAGTTTGAAAAAGGGCTGTGGGCCAAATAACTTATTCTATTGTCAATAGACTACACCGATTTTTCATGGCGAGTAATGTGAGATACTTGGATCTTCCAAATGCTTGTGCTGAGCACAAAAACCAGAGAGGGGAAGCTATCTTTACAGTCTCCTTCACACCAGTCTATAGCAAGCACCTTTTCTACTGTCACCATTCACTTCGTTGCAGATTTCCTAGGTATCTGTATGTCATAAGAAAGAGAATTTCCTTGCAATTCCCTGCCCAAGGTCCTCCTGTAATAGCATGCCAGTTCACATTATCCAGCTACAGCTCACAGTTCAGAAGTGGTACAGTGGTTCTTTTGGGGACTTCATTTTCTATCTTCTCACTTTTTAATTAAGAAAGAGGGCAGAACAGCCCCCTAGAGGATATTGATCTGATGGTATGTGATCATGCATTAAGCAGTTGGGGCTTTTTTTTTTTTTTTTTTTTTTTTACTTTCCAGACTAGCAATGGCTGAGAATATATTGGGTCTCTAGCAAGGACTTCCCTTCTTATGACCAAATTGTTTGAGTCTGTACAGTTCCACTGGCCTCTGGTCTAGAGCTCTGCTCATTTGGGTAGACAGGTCATCCTGATGCAAGGCAGTTTATTACTATTGTTTATTTGCCAGGTATTATATTGCCTTCCCTTGTGCTGATATGGCATAATGTCATGATCTGACTCACTTGCTGATTTCTAAGGGGATTCCAGGGGAAAATATTCCAGTTCCTGGTTCTTAACGGTGATTTGGATTTATACTACATAACATTACCTATGAAGCTCACACTTGCACATCTGCACTAGCACACTCATTCCATATGCTGAATGGGGAATGGCAGGGGCAGAAAGGAAGAAGTGCTGCAGACTGTATTGCTTCGCTCTGATTTATCACTGTTTGAATTCAGAGACTCCACCGTCTATTTTAACCCTTTCAAAAGTGACCAGCTAAACATCTTTGCTGTATAGTATGTGCAGCAGAATTAGGGCAAGGAACACGGGGAGTCACCACAATTAGTGTTCCAAACAGCATCCAATGCCAATCCATACCACACCTCATAAGGGGCAATGTACGGGTAGACAGGCTGCACTTTCAAACCCGTCAGACAAACAAGCTCTGCCATTTCCCTTGGGCTTTGGAGCTGAGCTAGAATGCAGCGGCTCTGCCACGTATGTCCACCTGACCTGCATGCTGATGTCAAACACAGATTAGTTTGAAGAGCGCAGTGGGATCTAGGCAGAAGTGTGTGTTTTGTTGGGGAAGACAGTGAGAAAACCCTGGCAGTAGAAGTGACTCCAAGAGAGAGTGATTTAAAACATGCTACATCATGATTGAAAACAAAAAAAGTTTTAAAAATAAAATAATTTTATATATATATATATATTTATATATAAATGAAACTATCAACTAGCAGCAATGGTTCTAGAGATATCTTAGCACCAAGACCAAGGGTGGAGGTTAGCGGTAAAAAGGAAAGGTTCAGTGTTGCTGACACCACAGTCATGTTTCCAAACACCACAGGTTGGCACAAGATGTGTCACTCCGGGAACTGGAAACATGTCAGCCTGGTTTTTCCGGACAACACGGTCTCAACTCCCGTGATGCTCTGGTCAGATTGGTACTACCCATGTCACATCAGCAAGGTGAGGCACTAGCATCTGGGGAGTTTTTGCACCTTTTTTTTTTCTAACCTGAAGCGATATCGTGTGAATGTGTGATGCCGTTAAAAGAAATATAATTTGTGATTCAAGGTGAAAGTGCTACTTCCAGGTTTCTGTGGGACTTCCTGTGGAAAAATATTTCACAGGAAGAAGTACAGTATTCTTCTTCCTTTTGTTGCCATTCTGCCATGCTTTGATACATGTCACCTTGCTCACAAGGGAATATATAACCTTTAAAAAAGACAGCATCACTTGATTATAACCCAAGATAGAGATCTTGCATTGATATACCCTGCCACAGAATTAGAACAGGTGCTTTTCTTACTCATTCAAAAAATAAAACCAAAACCACCACAATCTATGATTATGAAGACAGAGTATAAATAATGCAAATTAGAATATAATTTTCAGCCCCAAAATCCCCACCTTCTGATGGAGAGGCTGTCTCACTTCCACAGCAGCTCTGGTTTTGAATGAACAGTTGTACAGTCTATCTCCTACAATATAAAAAATATAAATGCAAAAAACCTCCCCATGTCTTCTCTATTATGCTCTCTTACAGTCCACACAAAACATTGTTAAAATATGTCTGACCAGTAATGGGGTTATCACAAGGGGAGCTGAAAACTTTGCCTTACTCGACAGCCCACCAGTGGGGAGTACTGAGAAAGGGGCATCACAGTTTAGCTGATATATTTGTTCTTAAAGTGTGTGTGTGTGTGGGGGACCCCACACCGTAAATAAGTGAATAAAGCTTCTACTTCCAAACAAGAAAACAAGGTAAAGTTGGGGAGCTGGGGAGGGATCCCCCAAAACATGCACAAGTTGTTCTGTTGGAAATCAGACAGCCATCAATGAAGGGCTCAAATGGCTCATTAACTAAACTAGATAAATGACAAGAAAGGCAGGAGACCTCCCCACCCCCAATGCCATCACACACTCACAAACACACAAGGAAAAACAACCGTGAGGAGGAGGTTGACAAAGACCCGTCATGTAGCTTATAAATTGACTGTTAGGTTTGAACATGTAGAGTATGGCCCCAGCACATGCTTCTGACAAATGAAATGTTGCCACCTACGCTGCAGCTGCCATGTTTGGAGACATCAGTAAATTTCAAATATTGTCTCTTTCTTAAAATTCCATTTAGCTTCTATCAGACGCACATCATCTTAACTTTTAATTTTCAGTGTGAGTTTTATATATATAATATATATATTTTATATAATATATCAAAGTTTAGCGTATAGACTACAAAAATTATTCAACAGCTTTTGGAATTGGAGGCATTCCTTCCTAAATATCAGCGTAAAATTCAGAGCCATGGTCCATGCTCTGCAGCATCGGCTTCTGATCAAGGGAGGACATTCTGCTCAGCATTTCTGCAGACAGTGCATAACTATTGCCCGACTTCTCCTCAAACCAACTATCTAGTGCCCTCTTGGCATCAAAGTTGGCAATGGGTGGCCCATTAACGGCAATTGTCAAAAGATCACTAAGTTGTTCCAGAGTGAGCCGAGAGCGGTTGTTTTTGCGCACTCTCTGCAGGGCATTGCGCCCCTTCTCGCAACAGGCTGTTGAGGTGGGAAGGACTTTGAGGATCTGAACTATTTTATTTAAAAGTGGGAATCTCTGTTTGAATTTACAAATGTGACTGATTAAGTCTTTAAAACCATTTTTGGTATAATAATCCACCTTAAGTTCTCTCCATTCCATCAGCAAACTCCCTCGGGTGTCCATACCCTCTCTGCAAACTTCTCTTGAAAATGATGGAACAGCTTCCAGGTGCTCAAATATTTGTACCATATCTTCCTTTCCATAGTTCATGAGCTCCTCGGTATTTCTGGGCCAAGTTGCAAGATCAAACACCTGACATGCTTTCACAAATGTCCGGCTACGGGAATCAAACCTTTGGGCCAGGATTACCTGGGTCTTCTGGCAGATCTTTTCTCTGATTGACTGGAATTTGGCCTCAGCCACCCGCAGGTTTTTCACAGCAACGCCATTAAAGTTTTCACGGAAGTTCTCTTCAAATTCCTGCAAGTACTCTCCAGGTGAGTCTGCCAGCCTACTGATCTCCTGGATAGCCTCCTCTATTTTGTCATCCACTTGTGACACAAGGAGATATTCACCTTGGAAGATATAGGCCAGGCGTGAAAGCACAGCAATCACATCCAACAAGAAATAGATCAATTTAATTGACTGGTAGTCCATAAGGAACTGCAAGAGAGCCAACGCAATGGCAGAAGCATCTGCTCTTTGGGTCTGACCACTGACATCTTTGAGATGGGCCACAACTTCAAGGTAATCCTTGATCAGTGCATTGAGGACATTCTGTTCCCCTATGATCCATTTCACTGCTCGGATGTCTCCCAAGAACTCTGTCTCTTCGCAAAGGGTGGCAGCAGTGACTCTCAGCTCACACATCAGCCTGGGAGAGTAACGATAAAAGCTAAGCAATTGCTTCAAGTTGTTTTCCAGCTCCTCCAGACATGGAAGCTCTTTCCCACTGATTGCGTCCAAAATTTCTAGATGGGGCCTATGTACCATAAAGGGCAAGCAAAGCAACCAAGGCAGAGTCTTTCTGATTGTCATGAACAAGTTGGCTCTCAGGCTGGCAGTAATGTTAGCACCATCTACTCCCAAGCCTATAGTTGGTTTCTCATCCTGCAATCTTATTCCCAAACTGGAAAAAGCCCTGTCTAATGCTTGGAGGTAACTATCTGTTGTACAAAAGCCCAGCTCTTGAAGAGACAGGAATTCAGTTGCTGGAGGTCCATCGCTGCTTGTGTACTGAACGTAAACTGCTACTGTGTCAGCAAGCAAATCGTCACTTTGACCATCCAGAATGATGCTGAGAAAAGGAGACTGCCTGATACGTTCTACCAGATCCTCTCGCAGAGACCGGGCGATATGATGGATTAAGATTTGGCAGTCTCCCTCATTCATGTACTGATCCACCACTTTGAGTTCACACTTTCTCAGTAGTTCTGCAAGAGGTCGAAAGTCAAAATAAGGCCTGCCTTCCAGAGCCAAGTGATAGGCTGTGTTGAAGAGCAGGGTCATATTTCGGCACATCTCCTCCGTTTTCTCTGGATGCATCCTGAGCTTGTAGAGCTGCAGGCACTTCTTGTGGAGGTTGCTCTGGCTGTGAAGCTTTATAGTGTGTATTTTGAACTGTTTAGAGCCAATGATGAAGGCTGAAGTCCGAGAGGATTGCACCGTGTACTGCCTGCAGACGTGGCACCACATTTCATTCAACGTGGGGGAGTACCGCAGAAACCAGAACTTTTTAAGCCACTCTTGTTTGAAGCGTCGAATCCTCCTGCCAGTTGCAGAAGACATCTTTGAAGGCTCATCTGTAGCAGTCATCATATCATTGGAAACTGATTCATCAGCAGAGTCCACCTCCTGGTCATCATCCTCCATGATTGTGGGAACAGAGATGATGCTTTCAGAAGCTTAGAAGAAAAAGAAAAGATATTTACAAGTTCAGAGATGCAGCAAACATTCAAAAGATAACACAAAAATTTGTCTAAACAACTGGCCCAAATTCTACACTTCATTGGTTGCACACCAGTAGTACAGTTTGGTCCCCTGACTATAATTTTTGAAAGAAAAATCAACATAATTCCCAATAAATCTTACACATCAGGCCACATTGGACAAAAAAGGAACGGTATGACATTTTGGCAACTAGCACGATGCATAAGGTATACTGCACACTGTTTCGGGAGAGAAATTCGGTACGTTCCTGGAGGAAATTAAACATATCTTCAGAAAGGGACACGTGCTTGCATTAAGGCAATAGAGTAAGCAATGAGTACTTCCAGAGGAGGCCAAAAACTCATTACACTTTACACACATGCAGTGAGCTGGTATATTTGAGACTCAGCGTTTCAAGTCATTCAGACTTTCAGGCAGAGCTTCCTGGCGCTTCTGCTGGAAAAAAAGAATATGTCAAAAATACAGCAAACAAACCAGCTGCACTGGAATTCCTTTTTTTTTATTTATTGACAGTGTATTGATTACAATGGAAACAAACAGTGCATGTCATCATTACACAAAGTATGTCTTCCTAGTCTACCCACAGCAACTGCTTCTGCCCGTTGCAAAACCTAGTCAGCAGACTTCCACAAAACAAGGCCTTCCTCAGAAGGGATATTCGGGATAAAACATTTTTAAATATATGCAGCAGACAGTAACTCCATTACTCTCCTTAAGCAGGTGTGAAGAACATTCTAATTCTGCATGACTTACCTGTGGGGTCAGACAACTCTTGGAGCTCAGGTACCTGAGGGGGTACAAGAGGTGGCTCAGATAACTTGCCAGATCTTAACATGTCTAGCTCAGCCTGCAGCTCTCGGATCTTCTTCTTCAACCGTATGCAGTTGGGACAGAAGGAAGTTGTGGGGATTTCATGTGAGTTGCCTTGAGTTGATGCTAGCGATAGCTCAGTCGGGCTGTCTGCCGTGAGTGACAGAGGCTCTTCATCTTCATCTTCTAGGAGGCCCATCTCTTTGGCTGCACTGTAAGATGAACCATGGGGAACCTTCCATTCACCTTCATGTTGATTTCTTCTGAAGTTTGGGGAGCTATGCCGAATGGCAGCTCCACACCTTTCAAAAACGTCTTCGGCCTGGTATTTCGATGCCTTTCTGATAGAAAGGGGTGTGCTTGCACTTAGCTGGGGCTCTAGCCGCTTTGCTGACTCTAGCGAAGCCTCCAGAACATCTTTGAAGATGAGATCTATCTTCTTTTTCTTCATCTGGGTGTGGGATTCCCCCTCATCACAGCTGCGCTTGTATGGGCTCTTCCCTTGCTTTAAAGTGGTGAGCTGGAGGGGGCCTCTCATATCCTCTTGGTTTTCCACATTTTTTTCTGACTTTTCTCTCTGCAATTTTTTATCTCCTAGAAAGAAAAGTGAGGGGTAGGGATCATCAAAGAGAACATATGCAACATTTCTCAAAACTAAAAAGAAAAGAAAAAAGCAGGCCAAATCCCTGCATATTTGTATATTGCATTATAAATAAGGGAGCTAATAGAATTCAGTGGAAACCATGACTCAGGAGAAGAGGAGCTCTATTAAACGGGCAAGCCTTCAAAATGGAGAGACAAGTACCTAGGTAGCTACACAGGAATAGGACCCATACATTTTTTAAGAGAAGAAAAACTATTGGCAGGTTGCTGAATGTAATGGTATAACCAACCTGTGGTGGAATGAGACTACACAATGATTTACTGATCGCAGTGGAATCCAGGACCCTGTGCCCAAATATCTACTGCCCTTCTGGAAGTACAGTGACTACTTTGACTTGGTAAAAGGTATCAGGTAAATAACACACAAAGCTTGAGCTTCAGAGTTTTTCATCAGAGCCCTAGAGTCTACCCATTTCAAAATAGAAAGCTTGGAAGCAGTTTCATTCTGTTTCAGTTTGAAGGCTCTTCCAGAGATGAGAGCACAAAGGGATCAAAGAGTTGCAGTCTTAATCCCCATGGTACATGTTGCCAATGCAACCAGAATTGGTGAATTCCCTCCAGTACTGGGACAGCTATCTTGTCCCAATGGACTTTAACAATGTGGCCACTAATCAAAATTAAAAAAATAAAAGCAACTTTATATAAATGATTAATTGCTTAAAACAAAGGGAATAGCCAGATGTCCTTACCTGGATAGTCAAAGGATGAAGGGTTTGGTTCAATTTCCATCTTTCTTCTATCTTGTAAATAACTTCAAGCATTGGTGGCTTCCCAAACAAGATGTTGCTTTATGCTGATTTTTTGTGTTTTAAAACATATTCATGCTTTCGTAAGTTACAGTGTAGGAGTTACTAGGGTTTGAGGAGAGCAATGCTAAGAATGCAGAAAAGATGCAGGACTCAAAATACTCAGGGTATGCCACTAGGTGGAGGGTTTGACTGGACAACCAATTTCATGCCGAGTTGTTAGGTTATGGTTGTATCCCCACTTGCTGTCTTGTATAAACCAAAATAACAGCCTGTGTTTCAACACATTTCACCAAGGAATGGTTAAGGGCTTGAATTTTTTACATTGTTTTTTCTCCCTTTCATGGAGGACTGAAACCACGGATAAAGGAAGTGACTTAAGACTGATCCTACTTCTTTTACAACTAAATAAATGATTCAGCCCCATATAAACATATTAAATCACATTTTAAAAATCCCCTTATCTAATAGGTCTTAAACCCAGGGAATTCAACATTAAGACAAAAACTTTATAAAAGAACATGAAAAATAATAGCAGCTTTGTTACTTATTGTGACTTTACGAAGTCTGTCTTTTTACTTGGCAGGCTGCAGAGGACTCTGTATGCTTAGGATATGCTTCCAAATAGAGTATTATTTAACAGATTTCTATTTTCTACTGAGCTGCAAGGTGAGGCACCTTCCAGAGCCGCCTTCAGAGCAGATGCTGCTAAATCTGGGAATTAAAAAAGGAAACCTGCAAGTGATGCTCAGTATGCTCTACGTCTGTTCTCCAAAGTTTAGCCCACTGCAGAGGCGACTGGCTCCAAGAAATATCTGCAGGTTGGCCTTCTCAATTTCTCCTATAACAACATCATGCAGCACCTGTTGGTCCAGGTGAGATGCACACACCTACCCTACTCTCATAGCTTCTTACCTACCCTCATAGCTTCTCTCTGGTCTAATGTGCACTATGATTTAATCTCGGAATTTATACAAACCCAAGGTCTAAATGTAAGTGTGGCATGTGTGTAGCAGGGCTATTGATTTCCAGAACCTGTGTCATGAGCATCCAGGCACAGACCAGCATTGGGGCATACCACTGAACTGCCAGCTGACATGTGGGATGCCCAGGACATATTCTTTTCCTTTAGGATCTTCTGAAAGTTTCAAAATATTTATGAGCAACTGGTGCAAGTGTGGGATAAAGCATCTCCCCTAAAACTTATATACAACGATTAATACAATTGTTCATGGAATAAGTGCATATTCATTAAATATTGTCATTGAGCTATTGTATTGCCAATAAATTAAAACAAGGGTAACAGAATAAACAGATCGTCCAGGAGGCCCCATCCTACCCATGTTTTAACAGAAGACACCTTTTACCAAGTCAAGGCAGCAGCTGTGCAGAAATATTATTGATTATAAATTTTCATTTAGGTTGGCTGCCTCTCAGAGGCCCTGCCATTCTGTGGCTGGGCTTGCAAAGAAATTCCAGTGATCCCTTTTGTGTCATAGCATTGTACAGACAATCAGGTACATCAGAGGTTTTGTAGGAGTTTGTCTTCCTCTAAATCTCTCTTTACTGAATACTGGGCCCAAAGGGCCAGTGGATTTGTTCCAGTATGACTATTACTGCAATAAGCCAACAATACTTATCCAAAGAAAAGACATTCTGATTCCACAGCCAATTGCAAAGCCTGCCATATGCACTACAAACCATGTAAAGCTGCATGTCTCAGGAGTCTCTAGCCAATGCAGTGATTAATCAATTCACTGAAGAAAGAGCAATGTTATGCCAGGAAATCAGACATATACAAAACACACCAAGGAAACATCCCTTTCACATACGCCAATACTAGATGATCACAATGGTCCCTTCTGATCTTGGAATGTAGGGTCTCCTGTTGAAGCCTATAGGGCTAACCTGCTTGCTTGCCTATAGGTATATAAATTTATGTTTTCCTTATGGTTTTGATTATATATTTATTATAATAAGTTATGGTAGGTTTACATTGGCAGTTTGGTTATAACACAAGAGATTTACAGGTCACGTCCTGTATGTTGAGCTAAGGAAAAATTAGTATTTTTGTCTGGGACCTTTCACCCAGACAGCACAGTTAGCTCACATATGTTTGGAACCATTCACCTAGCTAGATGATGATAACAGAGTAACTTTCCATGGTATAGGAACTTCCAAGAATACCCTCAAACTTAGCAGGTACATCATTACATAGAAAAACCTGAAATAACCAGGTCAAGTCCAGACTGAATAACCGGGTAGGATAAATGTGATAGACAACCACAAAAAGCCCATGGTAATGAACTGACACATATGATAATATGTTAAGATCAATGATATACTGACCTATTGGAAAAAGATTCCTTAGCATTAGTAAGGTGAGGAAATACAAATAAGGAGAAAACGTAACAACGTCAGTGTAACATATTATAAAAGTGGCATTCTAGTTTAGGTGGTAGGAGAAGAAGGTGTAGTTCTTGGGAAGTGCCAGAAAAGAGATTACACACCTTGTGCAGTAACTGGGCTTTGTCTACACTGTGCTTTCTTGCGCAATACAAGTAGGAGAAGAAGGTGTAGTTCTTGGGAGGTGCCAGAAAAGAGATTAAACACCTTGTGCAGTAACTGGGCTTCATCTACACTGTGCTTTCTTGCACAATACAATATGCAAATGAGGCACGGCGATATTCATTGCCGTGCCTCATTTGCATTCCTAATGAGCCGCCATTTTGCGGAAGGGGCTTTTGCACAAGAAGGAGCTGTCTACACTGCTCCTTCCTTGAAAATAGCAGCAGAACGGCTCCTATGCAAGAGGGGGGTTTTGCACAAGACAGGTGAGTCGGGGGAAGAGTATCATCTTCCTGGGTCTCCTCTAAGTCTTCTATGTCATCTTGAGTGGAATCAGATCTCATTGATACTAGGGGTCTTGGAGCCACTGGTTGTGGTTTCTGCTGTGGTGGGGACTGAGGTGCTGCCATCTGGGCTCTGAAGGGGGCCAACGGATCCCATCCCTGCCAAGATGGAGGGAAAGGGATGAGAGGGAACCAGGGAAAAAGCTACCACATCTGCCCTTGGTTGGAGTTGTTAGGATGGTTTAGGTCAGGGGTGGGGAACCTCAGGCCTGGGATCTGGCTCCCAGCTTGTCTGGATCTAGCCCCCCAAGGCTCAAGGCCCCTCCCAACAGTGGGGAGTCCATGGTGTCACTCCAGCCCCCTTGCTGCCCACCGTGGGGCTGGAGTAAACAAAATTTTCTAGGCTGGCTTCCTCCCAAGCTCTGGTGTGTGAGGGGAAGGTCAGGAATGTCTTTCTCCTTCTGAGTCGGGGGTCACATCAGTGAGGGTTTGTTTGTTTGCTTTTGCTTCTCACATGTATGTAGCCCCTGACTGATTTTTCTGTGGGTGAGTGGCTCCTGACCCAAAAAAAGGTTCCTCGCCCCTGGTTTAGGAAAAGAGTGAGAGAAGGACATTTCTTCATTCTCATCCTCATTCTGACTTGAGAAAGGCGGAGCAGAACGAGATAGGGTGGCAAGCCTGCTCGGTCTCTCAAATGTCAGAGTGGCATCGGTTCCGAAGAGAGTGGCTTCCAGTACTGATGTAACTGCAAAATCTTTATGTGAGGTCCCGGGGCATGGTGCCAGGAATAACAATACCGAGGATGCTGGTGTGATCTCGGTGTGCGCTGGTGTAGGTCCGGAGATGCTGTCTGCCTGTACCAACATTGGTACCAATGATGTCTTGGTGAGCGAGCCTGTTACCATTTTTGATGGGGCCTTTACCAGTAGGCTCAGGCAGCTCACAGTACTGGTCTGTTCTACTGGCTTCAGTGCCAACTTTTTCGGTGCCAACAGTGCAAGAGTGGTCTTTTTAGATTTTGAAGAGGAGACCTCAAGGTGTGCTTCTTTAGCTGACACTGCCCCTCAGGACTTGTCCGCACTGGACGTGTCTTTAACCTGCCAATCCCCCAAAGCCAGTGCCTTCGGAACTGAGGATGGCTTTTTTTGTGGAGATTCCTTTTTAGTCAGCCACTCAGTACTTGGGGATACGTGCTTCCTCTTTGCTGTCGTCTTAGCTGGATCCTCTTGAGGAGGTACAGTTGTCCCTTGCTCTGAGACTACATTAGGGAAAGTTTGTGGTGGAGTGGCCCAGAGGCGGATATAGGGCAGGGCGAGCGGGGCGGCTGCCCCGG